CACCTTTGACAGGGACAGAACCTAGGGAAATTACTTTTTAGTTTTAGTTTATCTTTCGATGTTTTATCAGTCATACCTCTTGTATCAGCGCATTGTGCTTCAGGACCTTGCGCGCCTTCATTATTCTGACAATAGCCGCTTGCAGGAACAGTTTTCGGTCCTCGTCCACCGAGTTGATCGTGTGTTCCACCTACATAATGGGCAGTGCTTAAGAAATGTCTTGTCAATTAAAATGTGTACATGCCTACCTCCTGTGGCGTTTCCTTTTGCAAAGCTGAACTAATCTTAAACTTTGTACGCTTATTTGTATAGTCCAAATTCAATTCTATTCGAGTCTCCCCGGCGAGATTCTCAGAGCTGGCATTTAAAAGCTTTGACTCAATCATAGGCTGCATGTGCTTTTGAAACGTTTCGTCATTTAGCTGTAGCGTGTTCTGGATCTCCCGACAACTTAGACTATCGCACGTCTCAAACAGCAGAATTATAGCCATCTGGTATGTTTGCATCGTCACGATGTATGACTTTTTCAAGTGACTCAATTTTAGTTCCCCATGGCACATGTGATGCAGCCAGGTCAGCTTGCGACCACTAAATAATTTATGATAATAATCCTCAAACTGAAAGAGGCAATCAAAATTGTAAGTATGGTAATTAAATAAATAAAATCAAATCTTTCAAAAACGTACCATTTTAATCGATTTCTCAAACTCTTGTGGGACTGCAAATGGTATAACTTGCGTGGATCCCAATGGCCAAGCGCCCGCCTGCAGTACTTTTATGGAGAGATTAATGCCTGTGTAGGAACAAACAGTTGAATAAAATATGTTTAAAGGTGAATATCACTTAAAACACACCTAAGTCCACATTGTTATCCTTAAGGTGAGTATTAAACTTGTTGTTTAAGTCTGTAGATACCGATATATCCGTAAACATGCGGTGCAGTTTATTTGTAAATTCATATCCGCAGGCTTGCTGTAAAGTAAAAAAATGTTATTGTAAATAAAAATTCCAAGATAAGATAGGTCTGCTAAAACAAAAAGACTAATGAAAAATAAATCAAATTCTGTTATCGTTTGGGGCTCGCTCAATTGAGTTACTTATGTAAGGTCAGTTTTTGCATTGTCAGCTTGTATGATTATCTTTAGGTAAATTTAGCTATCATGCTTATTAGTCAAATATTGACTTCTTACTATTTACTAGTTTTAAAAGAAGTACGTCATAAAAACGAATACACACATTGCAAGACTGCCGATGGAAATTCGGTCTAAATGAATACAATTTCTTAAGACGATTTTTGTTCAAATGCCCACGATACTTTTGATGTATTATTTATCTTTTATGCCCTGGAAATTCTGACCTTCAATCGATTGATCATTCCCTCCTCCGCGTCCATGCTTTGGCTCTGTTCGTGAATGAGACGCTTAGCCAGCAGCCGGCTGTAGAATTTCTGGTACACATCCTTGTCCTCGATGTACTTAAAGATGGTTATGTTGTTGGTCAGCTTCTGGTCGATCTCCGCCTCGCACGTCTTGGACTTCTTCAGTAGTGTATCACAGTATTTGGCCACATATTCGGCGCTTCGGCACGGTTGCCGCTCGGTAAGCCGGCGATTGATAACGCTGGCGCAGGCTTTGTCCAACGCGCTAAGGAAGAGAGAATCGTTTTCGAAGACGTCGGCGATAAGCTCTTGGTACTTGTGATGCACCTTCAACATGTTCTCGACAAACGCAATGTGAATGTTCTCGCCCTTTAGCGCGGACACGGTCTGCAGGCCCTCGTTTTTGATGTGGTCGAGAAAGGTCGTAATGAGCTCGGATTTCAGGTTGTCGGGTATGGGCTTAAGCACGATGTACATGTTCCGCAGGTCCTGACGCCGCTCCTCGGACACCATTTCGCGGCACTCCGAGTAGATGAAGCCCAGACGATCGTTGATGAACTTCTCCTCGCACTCCTTGCGCAGCTTTGGCAGGGAACTCACATGCAGAAACTTTTGGGCTCGCCTGCTTTCGTACTCCAGTATCCGGATAACCTCCTGCATGTACTCGGACACGGAGCAGCGCTGAAGCAGCTTGTTGGCCTCGTCGGTATAATAGGTTCCACTGGCATCCAGCATGGCGACCTCAAAGAGCTCCTGGTAGAGCTTCAGCGAGCCTGTTTTCTTGTAGTCTTGCACCTCTACGAAACTGTGTATCACCCCGTTGATGATCTGCACCCGGTGGTGATCCAAGGTGCCATTGCTAGCCCTGTCTGCGGCGATCCCCTCCAGTATATGCCGCACCAGTTCCCTAGCCAGAAACTCGATCATGTACAGACGCCAAATGTCCAGTCCAAGTTCGCCAATTTCCATTTGCTCTGCAGCATCGCTGGACAGGTTGCCGTAGAACGATTCCGTGTCGGTGATCTTTTGTTTCTTGATGTGCTGCTGGTTTAGGTAGCTGAAAAAATAAACGATTAGTGCTTGTCTAGGACAGGTTCTTCAATATACTCACATGTACAACTGGTGCAGATACTTAATTCCTTGGCTGTATTCCATCCAGGTGGTGTAGTAGCGATGGAGGAGGTCCGGCCCGCCGTTGGAGTTGGAGCTTTCGCCCTCGATCAGCACCTTCTTAGCCAGCATCTCTCGGACGTGCTGCTCGAGGAAGTGCTTTGTCTCGCCGTAGAGGCGATCGGCCATCGGTTCCGGCTGCGCCACGCACAGCGTGTAAACGTCGCTGTGTTTCGGGAAGGTGATTGGACAGGGCGATGTGTTAGTGCGTGTTTTATTTTAGCAATTCCATTTTGGCAACTCACGCTGCACACACATATGCGAACAGTTGAGGTCGGATTAATAGCGGAGCAAACAAAGAACGCCGTTTTTGGAAATCTTAGTTATTAATTGCATATGGTTTCCTAATCCTTTATAGGTATACCTAATTATATAAATGTTATGAACACTACTTAACAAAGGAGCCAAGTAATTACCCCACAATTTTATTGTTATTATTTATTTTCATTTAAAATATTACCTGCTCTTAGCTAAAACACAATATTTAACTAATTATTGAACCAATCAGGGTTAAGAATAAGAAACTTTGCTAATCATTTCCCATAATTTTGCCGCAGGTCCTAACATATGGCTGAATTCTAGATAACAGCTGAAAGTTAAACCAAACAAATGCAAACTATTTTTCGGGACTACTTTCATATTGAACTTCAAAACGGTCTTGCAATTCCTAGCAAAAACTAAGTGTTTACAAAATGAAGGTTGCCCTTATACCTATACTTCTTTGCCTAGAAGTAAAAGGTTTAATCTGAGGAATATTTATCAAGATCTCTGCTCGTAGCGGGTGCTATCCCTCCGACCGCTTCTGTGGGCAGCAGAGACCTACCTGAAGCTTGTGTTCCACACCGAGCGCTCCACTTTGGTGAGCGTTATTACCGACTCGGCGATGCAGCGCAGGCGCGGCCAAACGTCGACAAACTCCACGATCTTGGGCTTGAGCGACATCTCGACTGGTCTGGAGTCTGGGTCCTGGGTCCGTCTGGGGATGGAAGTGGATGTGGTATTGGCTGGAGGGGTTGACGGGAGCAGAGCGGAGGGAGGCGGATTAGAAGGCGGTCGGGTCCCGCGGCCTGCGCGATTACAACAACAAGCGATCGGCACCTCGTTCGCTGGCAGAGACAACTGCTTCTGCCTTTTGGCATAATCGCGCAGCTCGCTCACTTTTGTGTGAGGGCCACCAGCTCAGCTCGTTGGCCTTGCCCTCGGCCAATTTCACAGCTGGCCAGTTACCACTCCACGGCGAGCGGGGAAAGCGCGGCCGGGCACCTACTCACCTGCTGCTTAACTACGCTATTTACTAATTAATTACGCCGAGAATTTAGATTTTTGCACTTTTTTTGCTATCGTAAAATGGGTCGTCAGACGGGGACGATATCGATACATCGATATGTTGTTATTGATATGCGATGGTAGGGATGCACACACACTGTTTTCCGCAAGTAGCACGTTTCCACTGCGCCGCCAGCTGTTCGCCTTTAAAATAACAAGAATTTCTGTTATTTGCACCTATTAAAACATTTTTTTGGGAAAATATTAATAATAATAATAACAATGATAAATGTTGTACTATTTTTTCGCTAATCGGTTAGGAGAATAAGCTTCGCTACTCAGTGGCTCATTATTGCGTTCAACCTGACAGTTTATGGTTTGCCGATAATTGCGTGCAATCGGCATCCGTGAGCACGACTTTTAAGCTCGAAAATTTAAAATTTATTGATGGTAATAAGTAGATCTCGGATAGTTATGCACGGAAAAAGGCCAAAATATGCATGCACGAAAAATAGTAAAATACGCTCAAGAATACGGATTTAAAATTACAAAAAGATATGAAAGAATTATGCAAAAAATAGTCAAAATATGTTGGAAAAGACGGTTCTTTATTTCAAAACTAAAGTTTTTCACAGATCCACCTTGAACTCCGAAAATTTGGTCCTGGTTTTGGTTTAAGATCCGATATTAACGATTGGCTTCCCTAATCGGCTTTTTCTTCCTTCTATCTTTGGCCGCTTTGTGTTTCAATTATGGAACATGCTGTTTTACTTGGAATATTTTTTTTCCTTGAACTGGACATCCACAAAATAAAACTGACCTATCAGACCGAAATACTTTGGGAAATTCGGCTTTCATACGCAATATAAATTTACCGCGCGTTTCTTTTCTAATCATTTCGACCAATTTAGAAACAACTGGTAGCTTTGAATGCCACAAGACGAATGGTAATTTAAGAATATACATATTAAAGCGTTTATTTTTATTAGTCACGAGTCATCAAGGAACTTTCAATGACTAATAAAAATAGTCATCAATGCACCCAGAGCTGATCATTTGATGAAAATAAACAACTTCAAAGTCAAATTACTTTTAATTCCAACTTTTTTTCATCTAAGAATAAAGCTAAACTTTTTAACCTTTTTGCAAGACCTGTTTCCCAAAAATATTTACACATATCTACAACTATGGTTTATTTATTTCAATATATTTTGCTAATTGTTTGGTATTTTGTTTTTCAATTACAGTTACATTTCAGTTTTTGTTTATACTCTATTTTAAAATGATAGAAAACATGGAAAGCCTGGAAAGCTTGGAAAACATTTTTGTGGTCATAGCTCAAAAACACAAAAATAGGTATCGTCAAATGAAAACAAAACGTAAGTTCCTGGATAAAAATTAATTTTTTAAAACGGTTTTTATTAGTGTTTAGTTAACCAGTGAAAAGGAATGAAATATCTTTCAAGCTAAACCAATCATTTATACCGTTTTCCTTGTCTTGATTGTCACGCTTTTAGCCATCAAACAAAGATAAATTAATGTTGGGTAAAGACTGATGGACACACGCATAAAACCGATTTTAGTTCAAGTTTTGTTTAATGTTTTGTTAGTAAGTTCGTTTGTTGTTCCTTTGCTAATTCGTTGAAATGTTCTAACAAGCATGCGATGCCATTTATAAGTTTGTTTACAGCTATATATTTCTATATATTAGAAGGTGTATATATATTGGTTTATGACGTTCAAGAACGCATGCCAAGGATATTATATTATTCTGCTTGACCTCTATTGCATTGTCTATATTTAAGTAATTTCGTTAACTAATTATTTATCGTTAGTTTTTTTTTTTGCTATTTGGACTGACTTGTGGGTTGCATTTGTTTGTGGTGGGATTCGGATTCTCAACTAATATTCTCTCTATAACCATGTTATTAGGACTTGTCGTTTTTTAAGTATTTCGTAGTTTATGCGCATATTCATATTTTACACATTGAGATGCAAAATGTTTGTTTTTGTTGACCTACTAAACTACACATCAATTAGTTTGTAAAGCAAAGTGGTTCGCTTATATATTACAGTTCTTGGAAAAGAGATAACAATTTTGTTTAAAACAAAAGCTAATTCATAATAACTGAAAATACTTAGGCGTAGTCAAATATATTTAAAAGGTAAATATATTTTTGTTATTAGGTACACAGTTTACAAACTTTTGGAAAGCAAATTTATAAATTTAACTAAATTGGAATTTTGCTTTTTGTTTCATAAATTGCTGCATCTGGCATGGAATATCACACGAATACTGAGGCAAACCCAAATTTATAGCAAGTATAACAGCATTATAACAGTTAACTTTTGTTTTCAATTCAAACACATCCAAACAACGCATTCACACTGCGCTCACTCATAGATACACTCTCACACAGGCTCTAGAGCAAATAAAACCACGTTAGCAAATTATTCGAGCAAGGACTGGGACTCCGCAGCCCCCGCTTGGCCAGCAGTGCCGTTCCCCAATCCCTGCTCCTGGGCGATTCCCTCACAGCCAGCCGACGCCTCCGGGACTTTCGCCTTCAGTAGGGGCGTCTTTATGTCGGAGGCCTCCAGTTCGGTGGTGGATTCCAAAGCGGATAATTCCTGTCCATGAAGCTCAACGGCAGCAGGCGCCACCGGCTCGGCACTTGACTGGGACTTACCCTGGAAAATTTAAAAAAAAATATTCTGTTAACCTAGTTGGTATTAACACAAACATATTTTTATGGCTATTCAACCATTGTATAACATTAATTAATTTACCCTGAAAATAAAAACTACGTATTTTTTTAACTTAGTTGGCTTAAACACAATCACATATTTATGGTAACTCATTATAAACTATAGCTTTAAATAATTTACATAATATTATATTCATCAGATTTAAACTATGAATCACGATTTTGGAAGGTAAGTAAAAAGTAGTCCCCGAAAATAATGAGTTTTAATAATTATATGTTCATTCTCTAAAAACATTTTTAAAACAATATTTCAGAATTTTATTTATTTATTTAATTTAAAACACCAAAAAATTGCAATGTATATTTGGTTTCTCAAAATCCATATTTTTTGCATACCTACTTATAGATATTGTTTCCAAAGGCTGATCAGTTGTAAGGAGTCTTCGAAACAATATTTTTGTAGCATGCGATATAAACACGGTATTTTAAATAGGATTTTAAAATTCTTATTTTCTTTTCCCCCTTTATATAATTTTGTTTAAAGCTTTCTTCAATTTTCAGATGTGCGTACCTGCAAATAGTAGGTCATCAACTGACCCTTTCCTTTGACAGCCACCAAGCCGCGCTGCAGGAATGTGTAACCGAACGGCTGGAGAATGTTGCATGTTTCCTCGGTGACCTGAATGGCGCCAGCCTTGCCGGTGCTCTCCATGCGCGAAGCCACGTTCACCGTGTTGCCCCAGATGTCGTAGTGCGGCTTTCGGGCTCCAATGACGCCCGCCGTTATCGGGCCGTGATTGATGCCCATCTTGAGGACAAAGTGATTGAACGACTGCTCGTTGATGCCCTGCAGGGCGTGCTTCAGTTCCAGGGCGAACTCCACCAGAACCGCAAGGTGCGACCAGCGTTCAGTGATGGGGGCGTCGTTCCGGAGGTTCCTCTGCAGGTTTATTCCACTGGCGGCCATGTAAGTGGAGCCAATGGTTTTGATTTTAATGATGTCCTGAAACTGCGGCAGCTCCAACAACTGAAATGTAGTTTTCAATGTTTTATAGATATAAAAATATAAAAAAATGTGTGGAAGTATCTACTTACCGCATCGAAATCTGAGATAACCTCGTTTAGAAAGCGTAGACACTCCAAGCCCTGATTGTTCACCGTCTCTTCGGAGTAGAAATCTGAAAAATGAGTTGTGCCTTTAGGGGTTTTGCTTCACTTATGTCAGTAAAAACTGAACAAATTTTTTATATGGTAAATATTATTATATAGGATCTCCTAAAAATAGTTTAAAGTGGCTTGAACCTACCCGAAAAGTTTGGCATGCTGGCAAATAAGACGCCAACCTCGGCATAACTCTGCGAGTAGAGATCATCGTGGGAGCGTTTGGTGTTTTTCATAAAGTGCTCGGCCACGTGAACCGGCAGGACGTTGTAGACCAAAGCCTCGTTGCGCTGCCGCATATCGTTAGCAGTCTCCTTCTGCTCGGCCACCTCGGTCTTCCACTTGAAAATAACCCTGTCCTCATGGTCCATCTAAAATTCGTAATTCTTTAGGTCTGTTGACCGCATATCAATGATTTGCTCATACGTGTCTGGCCAATGTGCTTAACGCCAAAGCAGCCACCAGCAAAAGTCCTGAAGTGCAATACCGCGTAGATATGATACTGTCAACAAGATAGAAGATAATTTCGCAAGTTCAGCCAAGGAAAAGCCAAATGGTTATCACTCCACTTACGGTTGATGTGCAAAGTCGTCCTCTAGAGCGTAAAGGTCCTGCATAATGAATATATTGAAGTAGCAGTGGAGAGCTGTTTGAATTGGCGAAATCAGTACGGTTGTTTATGCGCGAAATGCGTAACTACCAGACTCACCTGCAATGGACAAAAGCAGCAGAATCTTCGTGAGGTGCGTGAGCTGGGCAATCACGGCGATCGCAATCAGTATGAGTACTCCAAAGTTGCTCAAGTAGGACGGATATAGAACTCGTTCCGGGGGCACTGCCTCGCGCATCTGTTCCACGAACGAGGCGGGCAGCAGGTGCTCGGCGGTGATGACCCCCTCCTCCAAGTCCACATCGCCTTCGAGGCCGGCCGTGGCATTGAATTCGCTCTCACTCACAATGTGCTCGGTGCGCACGAAGGTAACGAAGAAGAACTGTCGAGGAAACGGAGGCAAATCAGTGGCAGGACTTGAGCACGCCTGTGCAGCACTCGCAAAAAAGTCACATCCAAATCAATTGGATTGATTTTCACAAAACCAAAAGCCAAAACCTCTAAACGATTAAGGTGGTACTCAAAATAGTAATACAGAAACTTATCGAATTTTTAGTCAAATTCACTCCACAACATAATCCTCTAGTTCGGAGTATATGGTTTATGATTGGTTGATTTTTGATTCAATTTAATTTCATTTTAATGGAGCTCTAGGAAAAAAAACTGGACCATTAGCAGCTTTTAAGAATTGAAAAATAAACTTTTAGGGTGACTGTTTTGCTAAGTGCACACGGGCTATTCGTCGGAATCAGGGACGAACCATGTCGATGACATTGCTGAGGCCAATGGTAAGAGCAATAATTATGGCGGCCAGCTCGCGAACGAAGGTGATGTCATTGAAGCGCTTGCTCACGTCCACGAAGAACTTGGGCAGCATGCCGCTGAAGCTCTCGGCAATGCTGATCACCACCAGCATGGCGATCGGGACCAGCGGGGCAGCGATGTTGATGAAGTGGAGCGTGGACCGCGGCAGCACTAGATACGAGTACAGCACGTCGATGCACTGCACCAGCAGAGCCGCCAGGAGCGGAAGGGAGCTGTACGGCTCTCTGTACACGGCGTACGACTGCTCCAGCTGAGGGTTCTTGAAGCGCAGAAATATGTTCGTGTCCTTGGTGAGATTCCTTGAAGGAAAAGTATCACAGTTATTTAAAAAGTATTCAATGGTGTCGGTGGTTAAGTTATGTTGCATTATTAATAAATAATTAATAGTTATAAAAGTGCGATGAATAATGATATTAAAAGTAAGTATTTTTTTCAGTTCTGATGAAAAGCACTTACTCATGTCCATCGCGGGTCACTAGTTCGTCCTTTAATCGTTGCTTAAAGTTTTCCAATTTAACCTGTTCTTCTTCATCCTCGGCCACCGCTGTTTGGTGCCCGTTGGAAACAGCACTCTGGGCCAGGAGCTCCTCGTCGTCCAACGTGGCATCGTTTTCATCCTCGCCTGCCACGACGTCGCTAGTCGATCCATTGGGACTGTGGTGAGAGCTTTCTGTTTGGGTCTCGTTGATTTTCTTGGCACAAGGCGAGGCGAACTGTAGGGAGAATAAATATGATTTGTGTAAAACTAACCGATAGACATCAACGTATGTTCCACATTTCCTGGTTTATTTTACAATCAGGAATCTAAGCTTTTATCAAAAAAAGTGTATCTGTTTTGCTTCAAAATGAAAACTTTTATAACCTGGGTAAGCTACTGTATTAAGACTTTTTAAATATAATATACATCACAAAAACTGCCCTCCAAATGGTTAAACTTATCCAATTCAGCTACTCGCAACTTACCGGCTTAACCACCTTGGTGATGAAATAGGTCTTCAGTCCAGCAATGCGCAACAGCTCCTCCCGCTTCTCGCCAAAGGCGGGCTCCACCTCGAACTCGCCGTTCAGGAACGCCAGCGTTTTGTCCGAAATGTGAACACGGCTGGGGAGAAGATTAGGGCAAATACAGTTTACATGGGGAAATACCAGCCAAAAGCGTGGGGCAGTGGCGGGGGAGTAGAACAGTGCGCAAACAAACCCACAATTTTGCATGCCAAAGTGACAAAGTGGCAAAGTGACAAAGTCAAATCATAATAAACACCTGCCACAAGCGACGACGACCACCATGGTCGTTATCAATTATGCAACCGAGGGAGTGACGTGACAGCAGTTAAACCCTACTCACCCGGCCTTGCCGCTCGATTCCATTTTATTGGCCAGCTCCACGTCCTTGGAGTAGACGTCAAACTGCCACTGGCGCTGGCCGAGAATGCCGGCGAGCACTGCTCCCGTGTGAATGCCCACGCGCATATCAACAGGTGAGTTGGCCTTCTGCTGCACATACCTGCGAACACGGAAGGGAAAAGGGCGACACGCACATCGCCAGGTGAGCATTTGTTTGTTGGTTGTTCGTTGTTGGTTGTCAGTGGAGCCGGAAAGTATGCTTGGGAAAGGGCTTTCGCCGGGGAGCGTGGCTAAGTGCAATTATTATTAATTGAACAAACGCTGATTTGGCGTCCCCGCTCGCCTGCCAAGCTGCCCGCCAGCTCCTTTCCCAAGGGGGCTACTCACTTGATGGCCTTCACCATGGAGAGTCCCATGTGCACGCACATGACGGCGTGATCCGGTCGCTCGTCGGGGGCCCCGCTAATGCAATAATAGCAATCGCCGAGAATCTTGATGCGCAATTGTTGATATTTCTGGGTGGACAAAGCGAGTTAGTTCCACTCAAGCAAGGAGCACCGTCGAAATAAAAAGCATTGTATGATTAAAACAAAAAAACAAAGAAGTTCTGTGTTGGGGAAAATTCGAGTTGAAAAACAAAACAATAATTGCTCTTTTTCATTACGAAGTTTTTAAGGCTTCGAAGGCAAACATCAGTTCCCACAGCAAAGCTATACTCATCATCACTCACTTCTGCCTCGCCCACAGAAGCAAGCAAATGAACTGAAAAAACAATACTCCGCCAAATCAGTGGAAGGATAAACAGACACACACATGCACACCAAGGACCCATCCTATTGACTTAAGCCGAGGCAAGTCGCAGTCATATTAACCGAACCCAAAATAAACCAGGAAACCCCTCGCACCCAAAATAACCGCAAAAAATTCGCTATAAGGAAAAAATCAACTCGAAACATTAAGAACGCTTGACTGGACATAACTTTTGTTGGTCATTCGCCCTCCAACCCGCCCAGCACAACGGCCAAAAAGAAAGCAAAAATTGTAAAGAGGCAACGGAATGAAAGCTAGAAACCGGGGAAAATGAGAACAAAAATTCAAATTAAAGTAAAGAGCCATCCGAGAAGGGGAAATGAAAAAGTCCCTATTCAAGATTGCGTATCTTAAACATCATAATCATCATTAGAAGAAAACGCCACGGGTTGAACCCCCAAAACACCCGGTCAGGTAAATGAACAGCTGAAATAAAACCAACAAAAATAGCGCAGAAAAAACAATGGAAAACGTTGGAGAGAAAAACACAAAAAATATTACCTCGGCAAGCCTGTCGAAGCGTGCGAAGAGCTCGTTAAGCATTTTAACCAAATCTTGGGCGCTATATGTTGAGGAGATGGCGGTGAAACCGACGATATCCGCGTATAGAATGCTTGTTTTGTACGAGGAAAAGTGGGAGAGATTCCGGAATTTAAGCGTTAAACAAACGGCAGTGCAATATACTTTTATTTAAATATTAACACCTAGAAATATGCAGCATGGAAGTAATTGGAAACGCTTGTGGCTACTCATTGCGATAATTTAAACGATTAAATTAAGCTCAATTATGTTTTTGATTACCCTGTTCGTTTAACAACATTCCTAGTCTTTGAAACAATTTAAAAGTACATAATAATATTCCACTTTTGAAATTTTTCTACACACAAGCCACATTTGTTGGTAATTTTAAAATCCCCATAGCTTTTAAGCTTTTTTAATGAAATTAAGAAACAGGAGCCGTAAAAACATGTGTGGCACAATAAAACTAGCTTTTTAGAAATTATTACTTAAAATGTGACCCTCAAGGCGAATTCAAAACCTTCCACAACTTTATTTCTAATTCGAATTCTTAACAAAGAAGTCGAAATCGTCTTTTTAATCTCTAAATTAACCTGCATCAATGCCTATGAAACAATATAACGAATATAAAACAACTTAAAGACATACATACCTCACATTCTCGTGGCGACTCATGTAAATCTTTTTGAAAGCCTCCGAGCTGGATGAGCCCAGATCCTCCCGCATCTTGATGGCGACGTGTTTGGGCAGCACGGACAACAGTAAACGCTCCTGATGACGATTTAAGTTATTACATTTATGACCAGCGGGTCGTAACTCTTGTGATAATTGCTCACCTGCTCGGCCGACTGTTCCTCGATGACCATTTTCACCTCGAGGCTCTTTTTGGCCTCCAGAAAGGCTCGTTTCTGCTTGGCCTCGCCCATGAAGTAGTACAGGAGCCCTATCAGCGCGGCTGTGGCAATTAAAACTGCATTGGCCGCCAGCTGGTTGGAGAGCAGGGGATCCCAACGGGAGTAGCCCACGGGCAGGCTGAGACAAATAAAATACGTGAAACAACCAATCGCCAAGCCGAGGAATATCAATGGCAACGGCAGCGTCACATAAACCAGGAAGTTTAGCAATATGGCCCAACCAAGAACATCCCTAAAAGAAAAGAAAATATTATTAAACGCGTTGTTAACGCATGCATGTGAAACTAACCAAAAGATAACTTTCATGTTGAGATAGAGATTGACAATTTTCAAGTGTTTTTTCAAAAATACTTCTACCTGCTAATATTTTGTGATAAGCATTTAAATCATAGCTCTATGACTACCATTCACTTATGAAGACTGTGATCGCGTATGTATTTTTGATACTAGGTATAGCAAGGCAAGATATGTTAGGAAACAAACACACTCTTGAAAGGGCAATAGTTTTTAAGGAAACACACATCAAGAAGTAAGGACTAGACACAAACACGAGCTACCCTTTTTTTAGGCTGCAAACGATTACTTACCTTGGAGAAAAGCTAGGCTGCAGAATAATATAGGCTGCAAAATGAAGAACACTGAGTAACCACAGTGCTCGTGGCACAACCGTCAGGAGTATTTGGTGGAAGCGACGCAATGCCGGTTGCTCCGAACGGCGACCAATGTGAAGCAGAGCTGTCAAGGCCAAATACGCCACCAGCATACAGCAGTTGACCACTAAGATGGAGAAAAATCTAATTATTTTCATTAAAATACTAGGTAAAATGCTATATTCACATACCATAAAGTTTTCAACTTTAAATTATAAATAAAACTTCCTAAAAACCTTAATTTCCTGCACATTTATCCCAAAAAACTGTAATCTTAAACCTAATATGCTATTTCTTATATGTAGTTTCCGAGATCCCGACGTTTAAGCCTTCAAAGCTTATGAGCGTAAATGTGGGCGTGGCACAGAAATTTAATAAACTTGCAATGCGCACTTATAACGGACTATCTTCATCTTCAATCATAATATTCTAATAGTTCCCAAAATCTCGAGTCGATAGACCACTTATTTGATAATCCTTATCAACAATGTATTCATTTTATGAGGTCTGAAGTCCCCAATCCTGGTATTTGGTTCCTAACAATGGCACTCGTCTGTGCCCTTGCAACTTCTCCCAACTCACCTCTTGTGGGCAGCGCCTGATCCCAAGGTATTACAATGGTCCAGATGTTAAACAACACTGCCCCGAAGAGGAACCACTTGAGACCGCTGCGGCGCTGCTTGATGGAGTAGTTGTGGTATAGTTCGTTGAGCACGTGTTGCGGCAGGATGACGACCCCGCCGCCGGTGATTCCCACGCCGCCGGCCACATCGCTGTCGTTCTGTCGCCGGCGGGCGGTGGCCTTCTGGCGCTGCGGCTTCGATTTGCTGGGCGTGGAGGCGGCCGTCGCCTGGCCGTTCTCCAGGTTGGCCTCCTTCTCCTCCGGCATGCTGCTAGGCCGCTAGGTGCCTCCTGCTCCTTGGGGTGTTTCGAATTCCCTTTAATTATTCGTTGATCGGCGACCCTCTACGGGCTCTCTGGTTTATGAATGAAGCGAGACCATTTTCTGTCTTATTTATTTATGATGTTGGGGGCCCTGGAAGCTGCGAGACGACGCTTGGGTAAATAGAAGCAATGCGAAGCACAAACTCAAACACAGGGAGCGCAAGCAGAAACAAGTGAAAATACAAACTCGCGTTAACGGTAAATTTGAGACTTAACGCCGTTTCCGCCCTCCCCTCTCTTAGGTGAGCGGGTGGAAGCGAGAGGCAAAGCGGAAGCGTCCTTGTACGAGAGCGGCGAGTGTGTCCCTGCGAACAAGTATGTGTGTGTGTATCTGCCTTTGTGCCGAACAGTGGCGAGCATTCGAATGAAATAGGTAAGTACATATGTATGTAAGTACACGCATCCCCCGCAAATGAATATTTAGAGATTCCCGCTTAAAAAATATTTCTATACGATAAGGCAAAATCGCACTTTTGCATCGATGGTCAGCCCCAGAGAAATAAATTTTGATAACAGCGGTTTGAAAGTTTCACATTCTTATCTCTTGACACGGGTCGGAAATAATTGACAAATTTAGACACTTTTCCTATGGCAACAATTAGCGATAACCCATGAATTCCATAAAGCAGGCTACACGTACTCTAAACATTTTAAAAATATTATATAATGAATGAACTAGCTTGGTTTGTAAAATATTTACATTACTACAATCAACACGTGGTTTTCTTTGAAGTTAGTTTTAATTTTTATCATTGTCCGATAGCTGACTGCCTTACTTCCATACATAAGTAAAAAATATTTTTTCAAATTTTCCATGTAAATAATCTCAACTGGGATGTTCGCCCCAAAACCTAAATATCCTGCTTGCAATGCGCTTCTCTTCTGCCTTCCGAATGCAGAGAGTCAATTTCCGTTAAATGTTAATTAGGCAAAATTGAGTTTTCCACTTAGAAGAAAATCGAAATTGACTTGTCAAATTTTTCGCAGGGGAGGCCTTCTCCGTTCACCTGCTCTAAATATGAATAAATTATGAATTTTTCAACCACATTTTACACCCACACAGACCACGGTAACGGTTCTAGGAGAGTCTTTTCCGCTCTCGCGCACTCTCTTTCTCTCCCCGCCTCCCTGTGTAGCGTTAGCCCCAACCGTTGCTGCTTCTTCTTCATTTGACTGCCGTTTCCTTTTCCCGTTGCCAAATATTCGACTGATGGACTGTGTAACACGGTTCCTTTCTTTTTCCTTACGGAAAATCCTTTTTGCGTCTAGGTATGCGCATACATGTGTTTGTCCGTGTTTGTGTGGGTAAGGCTGATTTGCTCAAGGTTCGTTTTAATGCGTTCTGATTTTGTTTGTATAGCTGTGGGGTTGTGTGTGTGTACACACTTCCTATTGCACTGCAGATGGACCTTAGTTTTAATTTTAATCCAAATAAGTGACACCAACAGCAAAAAGACCTGCAATCCCCAGTTTCGGGAGGCTGCAAGAACAGTTATTGCATGTATTGTTATGTCTTTTTTCGTCTCTTGCGCTCCCCCAACTCCGCCTAGCATTAAACTGTGGAGGTTTTTTAACATACTTCTGCCGCAAAGCAGTTATTCACTTTTCGTTGTATCCACTTTTTGCTACTGAGCTGAGCTGAGTTTTGCTTCTGCTGCTTAGCGACTTTTCACGCTTGGCGCCGCGCGATTTCTTTCGACTAAACTAAAGCGCCCGATAAACTTGACTGATTGTCGAGTGAAAATTTTCGACAGTCAACAAGCCCCATCAGCAAGGACTTCCGCTAGTTGAGCGGGAGCGAGCTTTCGCTGCTGAAAGCTCCACGCAGCGCATGTCTGCGAGCGGGGCATGCCACTGATAACGACATTGGACGGCTGCTGATTCTGGCACTGCAAATGCACGGCGCATATGCCAGTTTATTTCGGGTCCTGCCAGCATAAAAGCGCCTTAAAGAACGCAACGCTCACTGCATTTACACCGCTCCTTTTTGCCACTTGTTGGGGCTAAGCTAATGTTCGTGTTTCTGCCGCCCAAACTTACTGGCTTGCTTTATGAAAATCCGTGGAAGCGACACAATAAAGAGTCTCGGCCTGGGAAAAAGGCAAATTAAACTTACACTTAAAGCAATAAATCAAGTATTTCGAAATAAACTTCGAGCTCATCTCTAAAAAGTAAGGACGGTTGTTGTTTGAATCACTGAATTGATAATAATATAAATACAAATATTAGGATTTCTTTATATTTTGATTTAATATTATTATTATTGTTTGTTACCATGGCTCAAAATGATTATTAATTTTAAAAACAACTAAGATTAATTACTTTTCATATGCCCCATTACTCTAAAAGTGAAAATTCTTCAATAGTAATTAAAAACATATATCTTCTTTTAATACATTTGTTTTCAAAAAATAACGATTTTGCATAAAAGGTTAACAACTCACAAGTCGTTTTTAATATTTTGAATTCCTAAATATGATTAGTTTCAAAACGGTTTTTACAATAGTTTAACCTAAATACATACATAAGTATGTAGTTTTTAGAAAAATGCATTTTACATTGCCTTACTTTGCCTTAAGGTAATAAGACATTAGGACTAATGTCTTTTGTCGAAAACTATGGACGGCGGGGAAAGAAGAAGGAAAAGGTTGCAGCTGGCCATTGAAAATGGTGCAGCTGCTGATAAGAACGTGTGTGAGAGTGTTTCGAGGGCAGATGCAAAAGAAATGCGGAAGACATTACGTTTCCTCAACATTAGGGCGTTAAACACTAGGCACTACTCAATTTTAAATGTGCGCTCATGTGCTTTTGTACAAAACAAAAATTCAAAACCACTACTATTCATAAAAATTAGCATAAATAAGAAACTTGTCAACATTTATTTATTTTAAATAAACAAAACCCATTTATCGGCAATCATATTGTAAAAATGTGTGTATTCCCCTTATTTTTAAAATATAAATATTAAAATTAATATTCTAACTCATATAATGTACATTTGCTTAAAGTGATTAAAGTATACAGATACGGATGATATTAAACAGTTGATAAGCAAGGGTTTTAAAAATTAGGATAAAAATCTATTTTTGGAGAGCAAATTAAATTAGTTTTGACAAATTTGTAGCCGTCTGCGTATATTAAGCTAAAACCAACTCAAATACAATTTTTTTTATTTCTTAAACCGTCTTAAAAACGAATGATTTTAATTTTTTGTTTAAAGGCTTTGGGGTGGTTTAGATCATCATAGCAAAGAAATGCTGGTTAATCTTAGTTTTCCCGGTAAATTTAATAAATCTTACTTCTAATTTGATGTCTAGTAGTGTACACGCTGTAAAAAATATTTAATGTTATTGGATGGTACAGCTGCTTCTCTCATGCTGAGAGCCCAAATAAAGGGAAACATGTGCACCGAATTCACAGCGAGACAGAAAATTTCCCAGCAGCTGCTCGGTAGTGCATTCCATTTCAGTTCGACTTTAACCGATCAAAAACGCGCGCAAAACCTGACTACCTGAAAAAGGTTTTGAACGGACTAGAAAGTTGCAATCGTTTTTGATTGATTGTCGACTGCATTTAAATGAGAAAAATCCGATATTTTTATTTTACGCGTCGAGTAAAGCACAAGCTAATGGTACACCAAATCAATTTAACAAACAGTTAATGTATCTGGAAACTTTTGATTCAAAAGTTTTGAAGGACATCACCCAATCCTGCAACATTAACATCTGTCCTATACCTCTGTTTTCCGCTTTAAGAAAATTAATCCCTACGCAGACATAGTGGCACGTGAGACGGTCTAATCCATAGATTTTGGTTTTGGTAGGGCATTTTTACCTGAACTCTTAGGTACAAGATTTGGAGAAAAATGTAAAATTACAAGCAGTTTCAAAATTTACTGCCCGCTTAGTAAGTAAAAAAATTAAAAAGCTGACAACCCTTTTTAGAGATGGACCGTGGCCTAACAATTGTGTACATTTTTCTGTATTTTACCAATGTCATACAAATTTGAAGTTTATTTTTTGTCAATATTTAGAAAGTTATTTTACCAATTTTTTTAATTATTGCAGTTATAGGGTTAGTTTTAAAAATGCTTGCGACTCAAATATAAGGTTATCATTACTTCTTTAAGGGAGAGCGTGATATGCCGCTCTCTTTGGGGGTGTTGCTTAACGTCAAACTTCGCGCCGCAAGTTACAAAGCTCTCGCCTTCATCCGTTAGCTTTTTCCGTATATACGAATAGAACACAAATACATTAAGGGAATGGCAGTTTCATAATAAAAATCTAAATCGATAGCTGAATTTGTAAGAACATACAGCAGTACCGGAATAAAACGCCCTCGTGCTCAAAATCTCAGGGAAATTGTTAAGCCGCAGGCCAACCTATCGCAGGCAGAGAACCGACGCCTACCAACACTAGAGCGCGCGGCTTTAAAAGCCGCTCCGACGCTCCTCGCTCTCTCATTCGGCGTTTTTCTTCGTGACTGTGTGGACGTTCTCACTTGTGCGGCTAAATCTCCAGCAATCCAACGACTTTCCTAGCTAAGCTACTAAGAGGAAACGACAGTTAGCACTAATTTACAAAATTAGCCAGTTTGTTAAAAACTACGTGTTGATCTTTGTGCCCTGCGATTCGTGTTTAGCGCTTACGCACCCACAATTTAAACGTGTTTTCGCGCTTCGCTTTTGAAAAGTAAAACCAACAGTAAATCAAAATGGCTGATGTGGCTGAGCAAAAGAAGTGAGTACTTTGTCTGGCTTGTATGCGAGAGTTTGTGTGTGCCTGTGCATTTTGTTTAAACAATTGGATGGATTTGCAGCGCATTTCGCAAGTGTACATCTTTTTTTTTTTTTTTGCTATTCGCCGCAACGGTTTGGAAAATTTTCTTTTGAATTCTGTGTCTATATACGCAAACCGCTTGGTGGCATCAATACAGTTGTCTCGCTCGCCCCTCTGGTTAGAAGGTGTGCGCGCAAAAAACGACGCCGTTGAATTTGGCGCGGCGTCATGGTGCCTTCTCGTTCACTCTCCGGCCGGCAAACCATCGACAACGAGAATTGCCTTGTGTGTATGTGCGTGCGGTGGTGGTTCGGTGGCGGGGCAATAAAGTTTGTGTGAGTGTGCGTGCGCCAAGCGAAGTGCGCAAAAATGTGTTAGCGTGTGTGTAGCATTCAAGTTGCCGCTTTTTGTCTTGTACTGTTTGATTTCAGCTGTCTTTTTTCTGGCTCTGTTTGCTTTAGCATTTTGCTTCTTTCCCGCCTGACCATTAATTTTGGTCGGTTATCTCTCACTCGGTTTTCGATGAAGCTTAAAGCTTGGTATTAACTGGCGACGAGTTCTTGCTTACAGGTATTTTGTCATAGCTGAAAATAATTGCTGGCTTGCCGGCTCGAGAATCACATTCTTTCTCTGGCATATTTTTGTCGGTTTAACGGGGGTGGGAAAGAAACTGCAAGGAAACCCGTTAAATCGTTTGTCTGTTGTCTTAGGTTGTGCCGGTTTTTCGTCTTTGGAAGGGGGAGTGGGGAGGTAAGCATAGTGGGTGTTTTATGTGCGCCTTTCGACCGTTATTTTTTTTTTTTTTTTTAAGTTGCACACTTTGCAACCCTCTTGCTCGCACTGCTTAGTTCCCTCTCTCTTGTTCATTTTGCTACGTGACGCGCGCACGTTAAATCAGATTGTCGGTGAGTGCGAGTGAGGTGACCATAGTGGCTCAAGCGGCATAAAAACCAGTTTTTTCTCTCTTGGCTCGTCCGTTTTATTTCAAACAAGTCGCGGCTTTTACTTTTTGCAAGTCTGCAAGCATCTCTTTTATGTTGCCCACTTTTCGTCTGTGTGTGTAGAAGGCAGAGAAGGAGAACACACACATGAGCGTAAGCCATTTATATGGAAAAGAGCACGCTGCCAAATACCGCTCACCTTTTCTGGTTTCTTTTTGCGTCGCAGTTTGCACGAGTTGTTGCTCCCATTTATCATTTTGCGGCAGCAACGCCGACGCCGGCAGATGTTACAATGATGCTTTGTGTTGTTGCCGGGCGTCCTGGTGTTGGTGGTGAGCAGGGGACAAATATGACGGAAACCAAACGTTATAGGCGGCTTTAAATGGAAAATTTTTCTTAGTTTCACAACTGCTTGAAATATCGTGTGTGTAGAATAATTTTTTAGAACTCTTAAAAATTAACCAAATTCAGGGCATATGTGTCTTATCCCTTTTTAAATAAGTACTATTGTTTTAAAATTAAATTTAAAGAGTTTTACCACCCGTTTTGTTTTGCCCTTTATCAACAGCGAGACCCCTGTTGTCGAGAAGGTCGCAGCTGAGGAAGTCGATGCTGTGAAGAAGGATGCCGTTGCCGCTGAGGAGGCAGCAGCTGAGAAGCCGACCACTACAGAGAACGGTGCCGCCGAAGAGGAGAGCTCCAAGGAGAACGGAGCATCGGCCGCCGACAGCGCTGCATCCGCCGAGGCTGATGCCGTCGATGGCGAGAAGGCAGCCGAGGCCGCTGCTGCCTCCGAGGAGAAGAAGGATGAGGACAAAAAGGAGGAGTCCACCACTGACGGAGAGGAGGCAAAGAAAGATAGTAGCGAAGCTGTCCCAGCTGCTGTTGAGAACGGAGCCGAGGAGGCCGCCAACGGTGACTCAACAGGTGAGTTTGTCAGATTGGGATTTTCCGCTCAAATGTTAATCCTATTTTTTTTTTATTTAAATACATCATTAGACGCGCCCGCCGTCGAGGCTGTGAAGCGAAAGGTGGACGAAGCCGCCGCCAAGGCCGACGAGGCCGTCGCAACGCCGGAGAAGAAGGCGAAGCTGGACGAGGCCAGCACAAAGGACGAGGTGCAGAACGGGGCCGAGGCTAGCGAAGTGGCTGCCTAAGGGAATCGCCCGTAGAGCAGCACACTCAGTAATCTACATATAAAATACTTACTAACACAAAAACAAACAAACGCAAATCACACAAATTATGGTTCTGCCGCCGGCGACACGCACCGAACCACCCACATCCGCACGTGTGAACGGGTGATGAGTGGGTGGGCGGGCACAATTCCCTAATAATATCCTGCAATGGGAGCGTAGTCTTAAAGCGTACCGATTCTCTCTGTCTCTACTAACAACCAACCAACCAACCAACAACAAACGAGAAACAACAAAAATCCATTATCATTTAAAACCTTACTTAAAAACTTAACTTTAAAGCAAATTATATATAGAAAGCAAAAGATAATGAGAAAAAAAGAGTAAGCGAAAGTAAGATGCGAGACCCTCTATGTTTTAAGATTAAAAGTTGTAAACAAAAAGCGTCAAATTTAATAATTGTAATAAATACGAAGCGAATGAAAAAAATTGCAAACAAAATCTCTAAATAAGAAAAACAATAAGAAATTAAAAGGCAAACTATCGTTTTTGTCACTTACAATTTTTATAATTTTACAACCTTATCCTATATTGTGTATGAATATTTATATATATATCAAACAAGCAAACTATAAAATCAGCAAAATGTAACAACGAGCTGCCAACAACAACACCCCCAAAAAAGTTGCTGCCCTCTAGCGAAAAGAGACAACAAATCATACCATATAGAAACAATAAAAAGAAAAAAAAATGAAATATAAAATTACATTTTTATAATATATAAATCAAAACATATTTCTTGAAGACGGACGACTCGTCAGAAAGGTCTGCAATTACCAATTTGTTCATCAAATAATTACTAGTTTTATATCTTCTGTTTTACTCGCAATGTTCCGTTCTCAATTTTATTGTCTTTACGCTTTGGGGAGTGTACTTAAATCTATCTTACTAATTTGTAAGTTAGTAAGCTGATTGTCACAAGCAGATACCGACATACATACATCAGTTAGCGGCCCAAGATCACTAGGGCCAACAAAACCGGCATTCAGCAACAAGAAAATTTAAAAATAAATGGAAGAAAAACTTACAAAAACACTGAAAATTTTGGCATTTTTCTTGGTTAGAGGTTAGGTGTTTTGAATTTTAGAGGTTTTAAAAAGCTCTCGCACGGAATCTAATGAACACCTTTCAGGAAAAGGAAATGTGTATGTTAAATCGTTCAGGAATCATTATTTCTTTGACTCATCCGGAATCTTCTCGAAAAAGCTTTCCTGGTACTACCAAAATATGTATATTCATATATACATATGTACGATCTGAAGTGAATCATTCGTTTTCGAGTAATTGGTTGTAGAAAAGCTTTCAAATCTTTTTTGCGTGAATCATTGCTCGTGTTTTACTCAGTTGTATGAATATTAAAGTATTTTTTTAATGTATTGAAGTCTTAAAAATAAATACAAGAAAAACTACATAGATTATCTCGGTTATTTGCCTTTAGTACAGTTCCCTTATTGTACTGTTTGAAAATGTGTACCGTTAGGTATATTTCCAAAACGACAGTTTTATTAAAAATTTAGCTTAAGACCAAATATTATGACAAGTCGATTTTTTTATTCTCATCTTCATATGCATAATTTTTCCTATATTTGAAACATTTTTCTCGACTTTCACTTAAATTTCTTTTGGATCGTCGACTCCTAATATATTTAATTTGAAATGATCGGAATATGCCAAATTTTATTTGTAACTTTAAGTTAACCAATTTTAACAATACTGGCTTTAAGATAAACATATCCACATATGTATGCACCTTCGAAACTTAAAATATAAACTTATGTTTATTCATATAAACTTTTTCTTTTAGTTCAATTAAGTTTTTCTTAAAAAGAAATAGCATTTACTACAAATTTGGTTTTGTATTTTATTTGAAAATATTATTTAATGATATACAAATTTTATTTTAAATTAACATAACAAATGTTTATTTGAGGCATTTACACTCAGCTTACTCACCTTAGCAACACTGGCTTCACAGGGCTGCCAGACTGCACCAGACCAAGTTTGGTTTATGAGTTGCCATACTTCTATTTCAAACAAGCGGTAGATTTCAAAAACAAAAAAAAAACAAAAACATGTTTTGTTTTTTCGTTTTTAATGTTATATCAAAAATAAACAAATCGTTAAATGATATAAATAAATTAAAAAGTTGGACAGCGCCTAATATAAAACAATTTGATATATGTAAATAAAAACGTTCTGAAGCTCCGAGGCGTTCGTGCCGCATGCCACGAAATTTCCGTGGAAACATCCAGAAAAGCCCTTGTAAACATAATATGATAACGCAATTAAACGTATTTGACCTAGAAAACGACTAGAAAAATAAATAAAGACTAAAAACATGGCGTATTGGAACATAAGCCAGCAAAAACTGGTTTTGTTTTGCTGTCAATGCGTAGTTTAAATTTGGTTTCATTTTGTAGGTAGGTTGCTTGATAGATATCTGTTCAAATTTATTTGGTACTTCATTTCGATACAGTTTTGAAAGTAAAAACTTAAATTTGGATGGCGGTAGTGTAGTATTTCAGTATATTTCTGGGCCCCACCACATCGCAAAGCAAAAAAGATAAGATATCAGGAGCATGGTACAATTATACAAGGTAGTCTCGTCGGCTGCCTAATCGTTCGGCTTTTTAGTCAGTGCGTTCGTGCTTGTTGAAGGATGAGCACGCGTGCGGACGAATTTTTTCAGAGCATTAACCCTTGTGCAAAGATGTCTTTCTGCCCTTAGCTGCAAACTTTTTTTTGTTTTTTAACATGTCGTTTCAGATAATTTTAGTATAACAAAAAATGTAAAGGAGAAACTATTAATAGCTGCTAAGAAACATTAACTTAGATATTACAAAAATTTACTTTATTATTGACATTTATTTTAAAATTAAGAACCTAAACAAAGAAATAACTATCCAAAAATACAAACAACGTTTAATTTTAAATTCAAAACTATTTAAAATTAATTTATAAAAAACTTCAACTCCTATTACTATAAATGAGCAATTTAAGCCCCATGCACAATCTAAGGGTTAAACTAAAAGCTCTTTTGTCGTTTCACTCGCACTTACTACGCAGACTCCTCTCACTCGCACTTGTGATGAGTAATGAATAAGGGAGTGCTTTTTGCCGACGAGACTACCTTGTATAATTGTACCATGATCAGGAGAATCGCGAAAAGAGGCGAAGGAGAGATTTAAAAATCCTCTCGCTCTCTTTTTCCAAATTGCTCTAACCAACAAAAGCTTTTTCACTTGGCGCCGATCGAAGGCGGCGAGTGTTAAGTAGTGGAAACCGAAGCGTTCTCGCGTGTAGACGCATTGAAACCGTTAACTGTGACTAAATTCGCGCATGTGCTTTATAAAACAATATTGCCATTGTTGTTGCAACTATATTTAAACCAAGTGACGTCGAAACATCGGCCAACAACAGTCCGTCCAAGTGCTTTTAACATCGTGCCATTGTTGCTCCATTTTGTACTGTCTGCCTCCGTGTACTTGCAAGTGTTTGCGTTCCGGATTACCAACCAACTTTAATAAATCAGAGGAGGACGATGTCCACCAACCTGCAAAAGGTAAGAGCCCCGGGCCCAAAGTCGAAGTCCAAGTCGGAGACGGAGGCGGAGGCGTCGCTTGTAAATTTTTTTCCAAGCAAGTTGCGATTTTGAGTTTTCCCACATCGTTCGTGCATGACTGTTGCTTTTGCATATATTTAGATTACTTTGTTATTATTGACAACAAAATCAGGGGTTTCACCAGAAAAATATAAAAAAAACATCTTATATTAATTGAATATTACAAACAAAAACAAACGCACTTAACTGCGTTTGTGGTAGTGTATCTTGGATAAATTTAAATAACGCTTTTTTAATAATCAAACGGTGGATTTTTATTTCGTTTTTATATACGTTTGTAAATAGTTAACCAAATTAATATGTATGAACCAGTAAGAATTTTGGTTTTTACTATGAATTTTGATAAATGTGTCCTTCGATGGTTCATTGACTTTTTATCACTTAATCAACTTTCCTATTCTCAAATATTGCCTTTGAGTGCTTGTCTTAAAGCTCGATCAGAGACCCCTTGTTATCTTGGACTGGGCTCGCATTCCATTTACAGTGTTTGCGATTCTTGGATTCACACTCGTACAGAAAGGCTTCTTATCGCGACTCGTGGATCACTTCTTCGTACATTGCCTCCCTCCTTTATTCCCTGTTATCAGCAATTTGGCGCATAGTCACTTCGTATATTTCGCGTTGAATTGCGTGTGGCGATCAGCCGGTCCTTAAAGGTGGGTTCTGGCCAGATCTGATTAAATGACAGGGTGAATTCGACAACATTGTTGCGGTTAGATAGTCACCAGTCTCAATCACGTGTTTAATTTGCCATTGCGCAGTTGTTATCTCAATTGCAGTCAGATAGGTTCTATTGCTGCTTTTTATTGACTCATTATAAAAAAGCCCTAATACTGGTTATATCTAACATTATGGTTCTTTTTTTATTTATCGCGATTCCGGTTATTCCCAAAGTTTATTGAACACTTTTCCCACCACAAAGCATTGGGTTGTTAAAAAAAAATATCGACAGAATCATTTTAAGGTATAGTTATTATTGTTATTATTGTGCTCTTATAGGTTAAAATTTCATTTCCAACTTGCACGTTTTTGCAAATTAAGCTTTAAATACGGCGTACCATTAAATACCCATCGGGTGGGGTTAATTTCTCATTATTATTAATGAACACCACTTAACGATTAATAAGCTATCTTGATGGCATTAGATAAGGTTCAGGCAATAACCAGAGTCTACAAATCAAAAAAGAAATCACGTGATAGGTATCACTATAGTCATTTGAATAATATTTATGGCACTCAGAAAAGCGTTACTTGTCCATTTAAATGGGACTTTTTGGATTAATCGTGTACACTTTACTTGTTTCTAGGAGAGACGTAGTAAATGACGCGACCGGCGCAAAGTCATTATTGTTAAGTACCGAGAGCTCAGTTGCTAAATCTTATCGATTGCACTCTGTTTTTCGGCGACTTGGCTTATCAATTAAAAAATGACCTACATAGTGCTAGTTGGCGTCAAACCTTTTGATTATACCAAGTCGCAAACATGCAAAAAGACCAAAGCCAAATCCTCCAGCACACGCTTATTGATACCCGTTAATTTTATTGTATCTTAGTAAAGGTTTATTGCACCTCTAACAACGATTTGATAAGAATTTTGTCAGTAGATTAGAGTTATATAAATCTTTTAGTTACGCACTAAACGCACCATTTATTATTGCCTTAAATGAAATGACTTTAAGTATTTGCTTATCTTTATAATAAATTCCAGATTAGTACGCAACATTTTATGACGAAGATAAGGCACCGGAACAGCCCAATGAAAGTTATTTTGCAAATTATTTACAACAGTTGGCCATTTCGCGTTTGCCAATTATTGGCTATAGCTTCAGCCAATTCGTGGCGCAATTGGTTTCCCCTATAATTAGAGACTTACTTTAATAGTTTTGAGTTCAAATTGTATATTTTGTTATCGCATTCATTAATATCGCACTTGTTTGAAGCATTGTTTACTTGTTTTCACTTCTTTCGAGCGGAAAAATAATATAAAAACAGCATGGGGCATACTGAAAATCAAAACTGGCCAGAGATGATAAGAGTATGTGTTTTGTGTAAATGTTGAATGGAAGATTTTCACGCGTTTCACCATGGTTGCGTGGAAAATTCCATGGATTAAGCGAGAGCGCGCTGCTTCCGTCAACGATTAGATCGTATTAGCAAGATGCACTTCCATCGTTGGTTAACATTCGAAAACAACTTTCAATAATAATAAATATAGTAAAAACCCTTTAAAATCGAGTCAGCGTATTATATTTTTGCTAGATCTTAGCAAACGATCTCGATTCTTGCCTAAATAGAAACAAAGTAGTGGCACTTGACCATATCAACACCTTCTGAATACAAATAGATATGAACCATAGATTACTAACAGGTGCGCGGCTAAATATTTGTCTTATCTGTCGAATGCCAATAACAGCGTGTTGGCCAGAATTACAGGCAATTATAGCCTTCAAGCGGGCTTGTTTCCCACTATTTTTACCTGTCATCATCGCGGTTCTTTGACGCTTCTTCGCCGAGGAACATCTGTTCGAAATCCCAGCGAGCGAAATCCTTTCCCGATTCCTACCTAACCCTCGATAAGGTCAACATATGTTTTCCGTGGCAACCGGTCGGTGGGGGTGGCGCCCCTAGTCCGCAGTGGTGGTGCAGAAACCACTGCCGCCGACGAGAGAGCAAGAGCGATGCGAGATTATTTGTGTTTCGGCTACCCTGGGTCTTGGTCTTGTAACGATGAGTCAGTTTGTTTTTGTACGCCCAGCTGGGAACTACTTATCGCTCAGCGCCGAACGCAACCGAAAGACTTCCTGTGTGCCTTCGCTACTTGGTTCTTTATTTATATAATACGATTTATATTATACAGTACCTAGTTATTGAATTCACTACCCGTAGCATGAGACAGCGCAACCGAAGGAACAACAAAGCCCTTAAACGTCGCCAGCAGCAGGAAAATACAAATCAAAACTGTTGTCTGAGTAAACGTTGCAACTATGATAATATCTGGCAACATTTCAAACGCAATGTAAGCCCTTTAAAATTTAGCCCTTAAACTATTGATTAGGTTGGACTCCTTACGTTTTATAATCAACCACAATTAAATTGGATTTCCTTCGATTGCCTCTAGCTATTTAATCAATATGTTTTCCTTTCGCTTGTCTGCGCCTCTAATTGCATTTGGATTTTCGTACCTGCGGTGTTTTTGTTATTTTTAGTGCACCGCCAGGGCCAATTGTTTTGTCGATTCGCTATAAGTTTTTCTCCCTCTCTTTTTCGACCCTCTCTTCTGGCACTTTCTCTTTGGCGACAATCGGTGTTTTACTACTTACCACCCTCCCCATCGCCCACAGGCCACCCTTGAGGAAATTCGCCATGCGGCCGCTCGCATTTGCCGGGACTATTTAACCGGACGCTGGAAGGTGGTTACTCCTGAAAACTTGGTGGTGAAACGCATAAGGTAACTTCATTTCACTTTTTCACACAATTAAAATGTGTTGTAATTTTTTTTTTCACACATTCAAAATGTATTGTAATTAAGTGTACTATATTACAATAATATATATTACAAAATAATGTATTCTATTTGCAATATAGTTTAGTTTTTATTTGCTAACTAAATGTTTTTTTTTCTTTGATATCGAAATTTTAATTTCCAAAGTATACCATTTTTATTTTTAATATATGGTTCGGTTTTTAAGTTTGCCTATCATATTTTGATTATTTTGGGAATACTTAAGCCAGCATATTGTTCCAACGTTTAAAATTTTTTTGCTTTCAGTGGTGGTTTATCAAACTTTTTGTACTACGTAAGTCTACCCGACTTGGACGACTTGGATGAGCTGGTGGAACAACAACAGCAGCTGCAGGCAAACGCGAACGTGAGCGTCGGCAAAGACGTCATAGCCACCGCAACTTTGTCCAACAACAGCCCGGTTTTCACACGCGACGATGTGGTGGAGGCCAAGTCGGTGGGCGTGACATCGCTGTCTACGGAGCTGGCGAGCAACGACAACGACAACGACGACGACGAAGACGACGATGACGACGCAGCGACTAGCGCCAAGCAGGCGCACAAACGTCAGCGCTTCGATAGCGATAGCCGCGACTCGAGTTCGCTCAAGCGATTGCACGCCCCCAAACAGGAACCCCGTGAGGTAGGTCACCCACCGCAGACACCGGCCCCTGTCCTTTTCCTAACCCCTTCCGTCTCCTCAGGTCCTGCTGCGCATCTATGGACAGACCCACGGCGACCACGCGCTGGAGAGCATGATCACCGAGTCGGTGGTGTTCGCCCTGCTCAGTGAGCGCAACTTCGGCCCCAAGCTGCACGGCATCTTCCCCGGCGGACGCATCGAACAGTATATCCCGGTACGTAATACGTACTCATTTCAGAAACCCGAAAACCGGGTCAACGTTTTACAAAAACCAGTGAAAAATATGAAAGAGTACAACATAACGTTTTACATTTTACATTTAGAAAGATGAACACATGCGTTTGTCCTTTTAGAAAGACTTTATGTTATATACAACTTATTAATATTTATGTAATCGTTCATTAGGCACGTGCGTTGACCACCGCGGAGTTGGCAGAGCAGCGAATATTGATGAAAGTGGCGGAGAAAATGGGCGAGATTCACAGCCTCAATATACCAATGTCTAAGGAGCCGGATTGGATCTGGAACTGTATGGAGCGCTGGGTGTCCGGCCTCGGGAGCATTGTGAAGGGAAACATCAAGTCGGAGCCCAAGTCCTTGGCACTGGAGAAGCAGATGGAGCTGATGCGCACCTTCGACTACGTGCAGGAGATCGCCTGGATGCGGTCGGTGATCGAAGAGGGCGACTATCCAGTTGTGTTTTGCCACAACGATCTGCAGGAGGGCAACATACTGCTGCGCCAACCACCGGCTGGCCACAACGAACGCACGCCGCTGGAATCGATTAGCAGCTTGAGGTGGGTTTGATCACAAGGAACTTGTGCTCTTGGTTTCAATAAATCCTTTATCACTTTCAAGGTGGGTCAGGAGAATTAACTCACCCATGATCCTTGTTTTTATATCTTGTTAGGAGATCTTTATTGCAATGTATATCAATGATTTACATAAAGTTATTTATTTTGTGTTAGTTGCTAGTTGCAAGAGTTACTTGATTGGTGTCCGAAAACACATATAATAACTGATATATTTTCAGATCCAATTTCGACGAAACATTGGGCGATAGCTTGGATGGCAACAGCAACATCTCCGAGCCGGAGACCAAGTAAGTACACCTCGAGAACTCGAGAAACAAGTACACTGCTAACCCGATGTTTTGTTGTGGCCTGCTAACCAGTAACTACTTGCCATTGGCCCATTAGTCGTAAGTCTCTGCTCGCCAGACCCATATAAAACTACCTACAATTCTAGATGGCCCCATTTTGCTGCGGTCGTGATTTGAGTTAAAAAAGTGTATGCTGGTCAAGTCAATAAATTTGTTGGCCAAAGCAAAACAGAACACAGGTTATCCATGACATTCGGTTGGAGCGATGTAAAGGAAGTGCTAACTGTTTCATTAACTTTTCATATTACACAGCAAATCGCACAGCGTTTCGCCTTCGCCTTGCCCCGAGTTGGACACCACGAACGACTCAGCGCTAGATGCCAGCTTTACAGTCGACAATGAGCCGGTAAATAACGTTTTTCCATTCAAAAATAAATAATTATTATAGATTATTCAGTTAGACAGCTAATCGCTCATCGTTAATTTGAAATACTTTCCAGGATCTCATTATCATTGACTTTGAGTACTGTGCGTACAACTACCGTGGATATGATCTGGCCAATCACTTCATTGAGTGGACCTTCGACTACACCAATCCACAGTTCCCCTACTTTTACCACAACGCCAGCAACTGTGCTACTGTGCAGCAGCGACGCGACTTCATTGTGAACTACCTGAAGAAGTATCACGACGACGAGAACTACAATCCCACTGGCCAGGAACTGGACAAGGTGGATGCCGAGATCCAGTTCTTTACGATGCTCTCCCATCTTTTCTGGAGCCTCTGGTCCGTGATCAATGTCACGTCGGCCATCGAGTTCGGTTACTGGGTGAGTAAACATTACGATTGTGTTTCAAATAAAACCCTTTTGATGGGTTATAAGCAACTATTATTAAACTACCATTTATCTTCCAGGAATATGGCATTGCACGAATTCTGGAATACCAAAAGCTCAAGGCCGCCTACTTATCGCAGTGAGGGCAAAGGTTAATCAAGGGTCAAATATCAACAATATTCACTTAAATCGAATCAGAACCGTACTTAAGTGGCCTTTAGCATTAAAGTCCCTGCTCTCCCGCTCTTCAATTTCCTCGTCTGGAGTTGAGTTTGTACTGCAGTTTTGTCAAGTTGGCTAACAACCAGGTCATCACACTACTTCAATATTTCACACGGAAAAGGGAAAGATATCGAACCATTCAAAAAGACTAACTTATTTTTGTATAGAAAAATTAGCTATTTAGAATTGATAAAGCTGAAAGGAAAAGGCAAAATCCCAATGACTGCTGTGATTAAAGCGTGAGACAGATGATAGATAAAACGATAACAACAATTTAACGTAGCTCTAATTGTTGTTCCTGATGCGGAAGTGGGACTGGATTCTCCTCACCCAACAGAATTGATCGAAAGTATTACAGGCAGCACCTAGCACATCCCCAAATCTACGTAGGCTCATCAACGATTAAATGCATTGTATGCTCTATACAAGAACACACATTTCTTCAACTTTCGAATTTATTACTTATTCGAATTTTTTGTTTATAATCTTCAAACACTACTTTCGATATCTAAGTATTATTTTGCATTGTACTCACGAGTCGCCACTACGTTACTTCTATACACTGAAAGCTTAGTTACATTTTGTATCGAATTTCCTTCTATTTCTATTTGACCAGTCGAGGAATTCAGACGAGCTCCACAGCTCGTCCAGGAACAATCATGTGTTTTTATGTACCTACCTAACTATCCCATATTCCTTATTAGAAATAATTTGTATGTTTTTAGAGTTTAAAATATTTTTGCGTATATTTTTAATAAATAAATACTAGAAGCTGAGATGTGTGTTTCAAATTCTTAATCAAGGTGTTGAATTTATGAACACAGAGAGTACAATGACCTGGTTCGGAGATAAAGGATATTTGTAATCGCCAAAGCTGTAACTTAAATCATGAACTTTTATCTTTTAACGAATCCAAAAAAGGTGTTTATTGCGGTTCAACTTCTTCACTTGGTAAGACGAACAATTGGTTGCCAAAGCAGATTAATTGGAACTATCTTAGTAGGCAAATTAGCTGCCGAGAGGGAGTCCAAGTAGCCAAGTGTCAGCTTTTCCAATTTTCGAAGAAAGGCACTTCCCAATTACAGGGACACTTTGACATTAATTCAAAACACAATGAACTGGACCCGAGCAATTGTCGCAATGGAACCAGCCAACCGATAATGGCACGCATCTTTAATTAATGCAGGGACAGCGGGACGGATCGGAGAAGTGACAAGTGACAGGAGGAACATTTAATGCCTGACACGGAGCCAGTCCTTCCACTCCCGCCTTCCCTCCGTCGTCTGATTGTTGGTCCCCAGCAATGCCGTGCCTTGTCTTGCGGTTATGCATTGCTCTTGACTTCACTCGGAGCTAGCTGGCCAGGCCCCTTACGTAATGCAATGCAATGCACGCCTCGATGGGCAAACTCAATCCCGAGCCATTGTCTGCGGGTATGCCACAGTAGAACACAGTGCACTGCTCCTGACAGGACAACTTGGGCTATTGTTTAAGCGCCGAGCTTGCACTCTTGGGAGCTGGAAGTGGGCAACAGGGTTTCATTGCGCCGCCACATGTCCTTGGATGTCCGGTCCAAACTAATCAGTCACCGTTACCCAGTTGATGTTGTTGATCTCATAAAGAAATATGTTTCGTCATGTTTTTCGTCACAAAATTGTATAACAGATATTTTAAGATATGTTTAGATGTCAATCGCTTTTGTAACTGTAGACAAAATAACCCAATAGCTCGGTCTTAGTAGCAACTTGTATTTTGTTTAGTAACATAATAATGATATTAAACCAATAAATTAGGTTCCTATTTTTTTTTTTTTTTTTGTATTTCTCGCTTAGAAATAAAGTAATAATGTTAATTTTAAGAATGACAAGAAAGGAAGCTAGCTTCATACTTAGCTTACATACTATACACTTGCAGTCATCAAATATGTCGAACAAAATAAATAAGGGCTGATATAGTTGTCCGATTTTCAAATTTAATATGCAATTTAAGAGCAGTTAGAAAACTTTATATTCCAAAAATTAGGCTTGTCTGATGAAAAACAACGATGTTATAATTTCCGTTAGATTTTTCGATCCTTTCCTATTGGCAGCTATACTCTATGATAACGTTGTCGGATTTTAATGAAATGTTTTTCTCAGTTCAAGGGTTAGTAGAAAACTCCATATTTTTTCCCAATATTTATATATATTTTTTTCCGCTCTTTCCTATGACAGTTATATGATAGAGTTATTCGATTTTGATAAAATCCGAATCCGAAATTCAATAGTAGTTAGAAAACGTTCTCTAGAAGAAATCAAGTCGATCTGATCAAAAACAACAGCGGGAGAATTTTTTATATCATTCTCTCGTATTGGAGCTATCCTATATAGTCGCCCGATCCGGCCCGTTCCACAACTTTTGGGAAACTTTAGAAATGGGCAGACGGACAGATGGAGAGACGGACAGACGAATGTATTTCGATTCAGATGGTGATGCTGATCAAAAATATATATACTTTATGGGGTCTGAGGTGTCTCCTTGTCTGCGTTGCAAACTTCTGACTGAAATTATAATAACCTTTTGCTCTGCAAGGGCATCAAAATTTCATATTTTTAGAACTTATAGTATATATTGGTAAGCTGGACAGGATACTTTTTTTTTCTCCAAAATGACTGTGCCATAGTTTTTTTTCTAATAAAATCATAGCTTCAGCTTTTGAGTTTCAAGACATGTTAAAAATGTTGTAATATCTTTAGATATACATACATATAAATCTTCTGTACGTGTGTTAGCCATTTAACTCCTCCTAAACGGCTGGACCGATTTTGATGAAATTTTTTTTGTGTATTCCAGGGGGTTTGAAGATGGTTTAGATTCACAATATGTTCAATAAAATATTTATTATTTTTGAGGTTTTTTTTGTGATGTAAATATGTGATGTAAATTTTTTCCGCTTATACATTGCAAACTCAGTAGGTAATCATACATAAGTCTATAAAAACATAATATAATACTCGCGGGCGAAGCTGCGGGAGCTCTTGAATTTTATAACAAACAAAACTCCATGTTGCTATACAATTCAAACATTGTGTTGCTTATTAACTCCAACATGTTGGTGAGATCAAGCAACATTGCTGCCAAGCTTAGGCTAGCAACTGCAACTAACACTTGAGTGAAAAGCAGGAATTGTTGCAGGGTGTGGTGAGTATCTGATAACAACACTTTCCCCTCAATGTTCCTAGCAACAATTTTGTTGCTGGCAACATTGAGTAATGGAAACTCAAATACATGTTGCTTGGGATTACTTTTAAGATGTCCAGCTTCATTGAAAAATATATTTTAAATCTTAATATTCGATGGTTCAACTCATATTTTAGACTTTGTAGGGCTTTGGCTGTGCTTCGAGTTGTTACATTTTCACATGCGTTTTCCATATTTTTTAATTATTTAATTTATTTATAAACAATATATATTGATAGCTGAAAACGATATGTTGCCAGTTGTAAGTGGAATCCAACCTTAAATGTTGCAAACCTTGTTGGAAGGAGATAGGTTTGAGCCGAATGGCTTATAAATCTTATCCCGCCTTTCAACTGACAAATGAGCTTTGTTTAGGCCGAGAAAGAATTTAAGCTTTTTAATGCTCTTAAAATTTCCTGCCAAGAAACCCGCTGCGATGTTGGCGGTCGAGTGAACGATAAAAATATGACTTTGTCACCGCTTTCTTTTGTGAGCACATTATGCTTGATTATTTTATTTTATGTTCTTGTGTAAAGCCTATTAACGCCAACACGACTGTTTGATCTGGGAAATGTTAACACTTCTTTGCATATGAAATTGGATCGATATGGGAAAAACTTAAACCTACTACTATATTATAGGTAGAACGCTGTAGAAATACTTTGGTAATGCCTACAAAGTATATTATAGGTATAAGTTTTAGGTATAACCTTTTTTAAAATTATGAAGAAAAAACTATAGGATCTCTAAAAAATTAAAACCCCCATTTGGACAACAATAGGTAAATCTTTAAATTTAAAACGAAGGGACTTTCCTTACCACGTAGCTCTTTCTGAACCTTTTATAGTCCGCGTTGGCACTGCTCAGCTATCTGCAGCTATCGCAATTCAATTTCATGGCTCTGTGCGTAGGACAATTTGCCTACTGTGCAAGTGCTAAATAGTTGACTGAGCGGTCCGCCCCACACACTCAGTTACATTCAGTCAGGCGAGGTCACTCATGAATGTGAACATACATCCGTACAGTCAGCAAACAAATGAACTGAAGCGTTGATAGCCCTGTTCCATGGACCCGGGCTCAGGATCCGTATCCGTATCCATCCGTAGACATGTAAGTTCTCTGAAACATAATGGAAACTTTTCGATCGAATGCATTCTGCCCGCCTACGAGCGACGGTTAACTGTTCGCTGTAGCTGCTGAAGTTGCTGCTCCAATAAAAAACACACGCAAATGTAAACGTTTATGTGGTTCCGGATGTGCAGCCGTAAATAGAGCAGCAACGGCAAAAACGTCCATTTAACAAATGAATGGCGATTGCCCTTTAAAGACACCATATTAAAATATAATTTAATTCAGGAGGGGCCCCAGTTTGTTCTAAAATAACACGGCGCAAAGTCAGAACTTTACAATTGGGATTACAAAACATACCAACATTTTTTATTTTATTAGGAAGTTTTCTGTTTTCTATTTGCTCACAATTGTCTTAAAACTCAAGAGGCTAAAGTGTACTATTTTAACAGAAAAAAGGAAAAAAGAATTGTTAATATCGATTTTTGATCAAGTTTTTTTTAATAAGAGGGAAAATAGTACAAAATACTAACCTGGTTGAAAATATGTAGTATCCCGACCAATAATTGTGATATCAAGAACACCCAAAAAAATTAAAATATTTATAAATGCGGCATTTAGAATATATTTGTTTTTAGTTTTTCTTACACAAATGTTACTAGCATCACCAAGCATAAATATATAGAATGAAAATGTCAGAATTTAGTATTGCACGGATGAATTATTTGTTTTGGCAAGCTAGCTAAATATTGTATATCACCGTTTACTTTTGAAGGAAAAAGGTATAAACAAAGGTTTTAATACTCCATTTTTCCTGATTAATATCGTAAGGCGAGTTGGACTTTGTTCGGCCGTGCTAATGAACATCAACCTCTTTGTAACCATAAGGACTAAGGTGATGGCTTAGATTTTAAAGTTTCATAGGCAGCGCAAGGTGGCTTCAAATATATTCAAAACCCAAAGAAGTTGTTTATGAAAGCAACGGGTAATCAAAAGTCGAGGCAAATACTGCGTTGATTTTTTAACATCCCTAGGAACGTAGAAATTGAACACTGCTGACCAAGACCGTTACCAATTAAAATTTTCCACCTGACCAAGCATTTCTGAAAGCCAAAAACCGAGGACCGCCAGCGTGGAATGAATGAAAGCGTGTTGCTCTTATCACCTGGGCGCACTAAGAACTGTGGAAAGAAAATGTGCTCACCAAATCGGAAGCAGTTATCCTTTGGCGAAAGTCAGCCAGGAGGTTTGAAAGGAGTACAGGTGGTGAATCTGAAAGAAAAGATTAAGATAGACATGTAAGAGTTGGCCACATCGCAAAGGTCAACTGAGGTCCGGGGCCCTGGAAACCGGTTTAGCTTGACTATAGTAAATTGAAAATGTAGAGGAACGAGGACTGATTTCTCGGCGGTGTGCATATTCAATAAACTACAAATAAAACGGAGCCGCTGCCCGTTTCACCGATTAAAATTTGACTAATTGCCCTGAG